GGGAAGCTCATCCAGCCAGGGTGGTCAGGGGAGACCTCTGACGAGGTGGCAATGAGCTGGGACCTGAGGCACAAAGTACAGCCCCTGAGACACAGAACAAAGTACAGCCCCTGAGACACAGAACAAAGTACAGCCCCTGAGGCAGGGAAGAAGATGAGTGTCCCAGCAAGGGAGGAGGCTGGGAGAGGCAGGGCGAGGACGGGCAGGCCCTGGGCATCACGTGGAGAAGGAGGAAGAGCCTAGGGAGGGCTTTGGGCAGAGGCACACCATGACTGCAGCTCCAGCCTCTCCGGCCACTGGGGAACGGGTGAGGTGGCAGAGAGGAGCCCGGCTGCGTCAGGTCAGTTGGAGGCTGGGATAAGCTGCTGGCAGTGGAGGTGTGAGCACCAGTGGGATTCCAGATGCAGGGCCCTGGGACTTCTAGGAGTTTGGACTTGGGAAGGGGCGGGGGAGAGCATTCAAGGGAGAGGCTCCGGTTTTTGGCCTGAGAAACTGGATGGGCATAGGGCATTTACCACTGAGGTGTGAGGTGGGGAAAACTGGGGGCCAGTAAACGCTGAGCCCCTTTCTGCATTAGGCTCAGCCACCCCCTCTGCCCTGAGTGGGGGAGGGGCTCCTAAAGCTACTGGGGGCCACAGCCTGGTCTTGCAAGGGGCGGAAGGTTCGAGGAGGGGCCCTGTACCAGGCCTCCCAAGCCCTCTGCAGGGTGGACGTACCTCGGGAGAACCTCAGCCCTTTGCCAGCAAACTCTGTTTTCAGGGCTTCCACGAACTTCTCCCGGATCTTCTCTTTCTGCAGAGGGGAGGGGGCGGATGGCAGCTCAGAGAACCTGCTGTGTGCCAGGCCCCGGCTGGGCACACAGTCCACGTGAGCGTGCTGAGCCTTCTAGGTGGGCTGAGAGTGTCCCAAGCTGTGAAGAAATCTTTCCACATGGCCGAGGCTGGCTGCACCTCCCGTCTCTGGAGAACAAGGCTGGCCACTGGACAGCCCCCCGTGCAAGGCCAGCCTCGGCAGGGACTGGCACTGTGACCTCGAGCTGGTTACTCACTCTCTGGCCTCAGTGTCCTCATCTAAGGAAGGGAAGTACTCATCCCCACTTCAGCGTTCTGGAAGACAAGCTGGGTCAAGCATTTACACCAGCTCTGGGCCGGGGCAGGGCACATGGATCAGGAAGGTTCATGCCCCTCCAGTGCCAGAAGGGGGCAAACAAGAGCCAAAACTACTTGAGAAGGTGGGGAGTTAGTGTGTGGCTCCCCAACCCCATGCCAGGCATGGTCCATGCGCCACCTCATCCAGTCCTCATGACAGGCCATGGGATGGGAACTGTTATTACCCCCACCTTACACATAAGCAAACTGAGGCACACAGTAATAAAGCTGTTTTTCCAGGTTACGAGGCAAATGGGTAGAGCTGGGACTGGGAACCTGGGTGGACAGGAAGGGATCACCTCTCAGCACGTGTGTGTGGGAGAGTGGTTGTTTGCCAATGACCAGTTGTAACTACTCCAACAAAAAAAGTCCCCGTGGCTGGGCGCAGAGGCTCACGCCTGTAATCCCAGCACTTTGGGAGCCCAAGGTGGGCAGATCACTTGAGGCCAGAGTTTGAGACCAGCCTGAACATGGCAAAACCCTGTCCTTACTAAAAAATACAAAAATTAGGCCAGTGCGGTGGCTCACGCCTGTAGTCCCAGCTACTTGGGAGGCTGAGGCAGAAGAATTGCTCCCAGGAGGCGGAGGTTGCAGTGAGCCGAGATTGTCCCACGGCACTGGGTGACAGAGCGAGACTCCGTCTCCAAAAAAACAACAAAAAAAAGGGTATTTCTTTGCGAGGTGCAGTGGTTCACACCTATAATCCTGGTGCTTTGGGAGGCTGAGGCAGAAGGCCCACTTGAGGCTAGGAGTTCAAAACTGGCCTGGGAGACACAATGAGATCCCATCCCTACAAAAAATTTTAAATTTTAAAAATTAGCCTGGCATGGAGGAATGCACCTGTGGTCCCAGCTACTCAGGAGGCTGAGGTGTGAGGATCGCTTGAGCCTGAGATCGAGGCTGCAGTGAGCTAGGACTGGATCACTGCACTGCACTCCAGGCTGGGCAACAGAGTTAAGACCCTATCTCAAAAAAAACAATAACGACAAAAAGTATGCCGTGTGCCAGGCATAGGAGATCCAGAGGAGAATAAGCCGCAGAAATCCCTGCCCTGATGGAGCTTACAGTTCTGGGACAGGGACAGACAGTAATTCGGGTTTTGAAAGTAGATGGTGGAAGTTGTCCAAGGCTGCTTGGGGAGAAATAAGGTAGGGGAAGGAGCAGGAAGTGCAGCAGTGGATGTGATACTCTGGGAGGCCCCACTGGGAAAAGGACAGGAAAGGTGATTTGAAGGAGAGGAGGAGGGACGAGCTGGGCCTGAGAGAAGTGTGCTCTGGCAGAGGCACAGCACTCTAGAATCAGCCAAGAGGCCATAGCTGGAGCAGAGGGCAGGGAGAGCCACCGAACAGGTCAGAGAATGACGGAACGACGTGGACGGGCCAGCATGGAAAGGTTTGGAAGGGTGGATCACTCCATCGCCGGGAGGGAGGGAGGCGGTGGGGAGAAAAGCAAAATGCACATCAACGTTCAGCAGGGGCAGCACAGGCAGAGGTGAGAGGACCTTGGTGTGTTCCAGGAATAGAAAGTGGAACTTGAAGGGCACAGAGAGGAGATGCAGAGAGCCGGAGCCAGGCAGAGCCCTCAGGGCTTGGGGCACCATAGCAGGGGGCTAGAACATCATCCAGCTGGCAACGAGGAGGCAAGGAAGGATTGTAAGTGAGGGGGCAGGGCTGGGGGGTGAATGCGGCTGACGCATTTGAAAGGTTCTAATGGGCCGTGCGAGGTTGCTCATGCCTGTAATCTCGGCACTTTCGGAGGCCCAGGCAGGTGGATCACCTTAGGTCCGGAGTTCAAGACCAGCCTGGCCAACGTGGTAAAACCCTGTCTCTACTAAAAAAGTACAAAACTTAGCTAGGTGTGGTGGTGCACACCTGTAATCCCAGCTACTTGGGAGGCTGAGGCAGGAGAATCGCTTGAACACGGGAGGTGGGAGTTGCAGTGAGCTGAGATCATGCCACTGTACTCCAGCCTGGGTGACAGAATGAGACTCTTATCTCCCTCCCCGCCCCCCCAAAAAAAGAAAGAAAGAAAGCTTCTCAGTGGCATTGCCGGAGAGCAGGCTGGCAGGGTTATGCAGTGGGTAGGGAGGGACAGAGAGGAAAGTTGGGGCAACCTGGGGCGGGGGAAAGCGGTAATCTAGAGTGGGGTCTCAGTTCTGCAGATGAACAGATTTGACACTGACTCGAGAGGCTGATGAAATAGGAGCTGTTGGACCCGATGTGGGTGGGAAGGTGGAAATGATGTTCCCAGGTGTTGGCCTGGCTCAATGGGTGGCTGCTGGTGCTGGTCACCTAGGAAGGGGGACCAGCAGCGTTGGAAAGATGCACGTGTGTCTACAACAATGGCACACGGTAGGTGCCTGAAAGGGTATCAGTTAAATCAGAACACATCCCCCCAGTCTATTTTACCGATGAGAAAATAAAGGCTCAGATAAATTGAGTGACTGAGGCCCTACAGGCCTAAGGTTGCAGAGCTAGTGGTACCTTGTCCAGTTCGGAGAACTCGATCCGCTCCTCCAGGGTGCAGCTCCGGCCGATGGGCGAGATGTTCAGCATGCCATTCCGGAACTCAATGAAGGTTCCACTGGTGGTGAGGGAGGGCGGGAGCCAGAGAGAACCAGAACGGCCCTGAATTCAAATCTAGCCCCACCTGGGACCCCAGCCTCCTAGGACTCCAAAGGGGAAAATAATCCACACTCCCCGTAAAAAATCAGGGGCCCAGGTATCTCCAGGCTCCCTCTGAGGGACCCACACTTCTCCTCCCTCAGGCCCCAGGTTCTGGAGACCAGGCTGGTGGGACCTCACCGCTTCTTGGGCAGCCTGAGCAGGGCCATGTAGCTGAGGCAGAAGTTGATCAAGTCCTGCAGCAGCTCCTCCCCCAGGTGGTTCTGGATGGTCTGGCCAAGGAACACAGAGCTCTGAGCGTGGCCTAGGCTGCCTGACCCTGAGACAGGCGCAGTGTCTCTCCCCCAGCCCCGGACAGAAGGCACCCTTGGACTGCTCCACTAAGGAAAAGCGGGGTGCCCCTGGCTAAGCCCTGGGGGACACTGACCTGCTTGGAGAGCAGTCGTCCGTGCTTATATTGCACTGTCCCGTTCTCAGCAAACACATAATCAAACTTCTCAATGACTTCGGGGTCACATAGAGGACAGGAGGAAGAAAGACTGTGACACCAGGTCTGTGATCCCATAGGCAAGTAAAGAGACAGGAAGCCCACACCCTTGGTTTCGTATTCAAAGGCCATTTGTTCAATCTGAGGCTGCAACCTGCTTCTCCAGCCTTTCTCATTCTGCAGTTTGGTTTTCTTCCAAAGAAGCCAGTCACACCTGTGGGCCTCTGCACACAGGCATCCATGCAGGTCCTTCTGTCAGGACCGCCCTTCCCTGGCTTCCCTGCCACTCATCCTCCAAGATCCAGCTTCCTCCTCTGGAAGCCATGCAGCACTGTCTGGCAGAGGGCATCATTTACACTCTGTGCTCCCCTGTCCCTCTGCAGATGAGCTTCCTTCTGCTCTACAGCTGCCATCGCACTGGGTTCTCAAGGCTGGGTGCATGGGAGAGTTGGAGGTTTCAGCTCTGGCTGCCAGGAGAAGCAGCTGGAGTGGGTGGGAGGTGGGAGGCGCAGGGAGCACAGCTCAGAGGCTGTTGCGGGGTCTGGGTGGCACGTGGTTACCTAGACTATGAAGGCATGGTGGAGATGGAGACAGAGGGGACAGGGAGATATTTTGGGGTTTGCTGATGGAATAAACAAGAGGTGGGAAAAGGAAAAATTCGAGGAAGTTTCTGGCTTGAGGAACTGGAAGCACCCACTTTGACTGGTCTGAGACCAGGAGCTCTGAGGTCCAATCAATTTTCTGGATAACTTCAGAGTCGTCCTCTGTTAAATGGGATGATCACGCCTACTCTAAAGTGTGATTGTGGGGATTAAATGCAATGGAATAACATTAACACATGATCATTTTTGACAAATGGTAGCCATCATTGGTTCTGCCCTTTTTTTTTTTTTTTTTGGAAGCAGAGCCTCATTCTGTCACCCAGGCTGGAGTGCAGTGGCCTGATCTTGGCTCACTGCAACCTCCACCACTCAGGTTCAAGCGATTCTCCTGCCTCAACCTCCCGAGTAGCTGGGATTGCAGGCACGTGCCACCATACCCAGCTTATTTTTTGTATTTTTAGTAGAGACGGGGTTTCACCATGTTGGGCACGCTGGTCTTGAACTCCTGATCTCAAGTAATCCACCTGCCTTGGCCTCCCAAAGTGCTGGGATTACAGGCGT